ATAAATCCTATGACTAAGACACCCCAAAATACAAGGGTAAATATAGGAAATACAAGTACAATAAATCTTATGTCTAAGGTACCCAAAATACAAGGGTAAAATAGGAAATTAAAGACAAGGGTAAAATACAAATAATAAATTTAATGCTAACAAGGCTTAGGAGAATGATTAATAGCCATAAAAAGCATGTCTCTAAGGGTGTTAGCTCCCCTAATCTCTTCCAATCACCTAGCATGGACCTAGTCATGGGTCCCACATAAAGCTCCAAGGATGGTCCTTCATTATAGGATATTCCTTTTAGATTTCAGGGTATGTTACTTGGAGACTTTTTCTCCATTTGACCTTGTATTAAGGGTCATCCATTTATATATTTTCAGTAGTAGACGTGGGTGACAAATAGTAATGTGTGTAAGTGCAACTAGTAATTGGGCCAAGATTGGGCCTAGACCAAATTTTACATATTGGGTTTGTTTTTCTCCATATTTTCTAAGGAATTGATTTAGCTAGGTCTCACCACCATTTGGTGAACCTAACTAAACCAATTCCAAGATTTTTGGATTGGATAACTGGTTGGAAATAAGCTTAGGCCGCCCATTCTTCTTCTTTGGCCGAATTAGTAGCTTGCCTTGCACACTTGGGAAGCTTGTGCTACAAGCTTCTAACTTAGCTTGCTTCCTAAGCTTCTGAGTTAGAAGCTTTCTCCACAAGCCTTCCAAACCATGGTGGATGGTCAAGTTAAGTTAACCATGGTTCTCTTGAACCATAGTTAGCCTAGCTTGCTCCACAAGTTTCCCTACTCTATATAAACCTTTCCCTAACCTTTTTATTCACTTTTGACATATATGGGATTGCATTTTAGAAATTTCTCTCTCTGGATTCTTCTAGCCATAGCTCTAGTGACTAGGCCTTTGGCCCATGGTCTATCAACCTACAAGCACAAAAAACAAAGCACATTAGCAAAATAGGATCTCACAAACCCTAACAATCTAAAGAGGACGAGATACTCACTCTCCAGGCCCCTCTCCTTGTACGCCAAATTCGCAAGCGACAGGACGAGCTTGCAATCTAGCGGGCGAGGAAGCACTGCAAGACTTTCAATGGCGGCCACCTTCGAAGCCGTCAATTTCAATTGGCCCACCCCGTGAAACCTAGACAGTTTGGGGCACCAATAGAAGGGGAATTTTGGCAGCCCGCCGAAATAGAATGCCCCGTCCTCCAATGGGTCGACGTCCACAAGAGCAACCCGGAAAAACTCTTGTTTAAAATTTTTGTATGACTGGGAGTAAAGAGTGAATAAACCTCCATCCCTACTCCCACTCAGAGACAGTATGTCGTAAGGCGGAATGCCTATCTTCAGCTGGTAAAAATGAAGAAAGAGGGGAAGAGACACCTCTATCCCTAGAGCTGAACACAAGACCTGAAAAGCCCTCAAAAAGCCCCAACTGTTTAGGTGCAACTGGCAAGGAGTCGAGTTGATAAAATTTAAAAAATCGCACTCGAATTGAGTGAAGGGAAGGCAGACACCTAAATCCCTAAAGAAGCATTGGAGGACATAGAAATGAGGAGGGTCAGTGGACTTTCCCATGTACACGCCCTTCCGGCCCGACAAGGCTCAAGCCGGATCATTCAGGAGATGAAAGGGTCACAAATTCTATACGATTTCCAAATCACATTGACCTCAAGAAAAGATCGAAACACACTCTGGGCTTCACCCATCTCACTTCGAACCCAATCGTACTAGGCGGGTTCTCCACCTTCTTCTTCTCGGCGGCGGCCGTTCCGGTAGCCACCGCCTTGCCCCGCGCCCTACCTTTGCCCTTGGCAGGCACGGAGGATCCAGCACCACCCTCTCCAGCCATCAAGAAAGAAATAAGATTTGATAAGAAGGAGAAAGAAGATTACAGAAAGGAAGTACCTGGTACTCTCCCTCAGAAAACAACCCTAACGACAACGGGGTTACCGGAAACGAGAACGGGAATAGCAAGAGCGAAAACCCAGGGAGCAGCGTGCGCAAGGAGCTAAGGAAGAAGAAGAAACGAAAAGAGTAAAGTGAATGAAGAGGCGCGAGAGAAAGAGAAAAAAAAAGACTCCCTAAATTCAAACGGTCATGCCACGTGTCGGAGAGAGAAAGCATAACTGGCAACTCATTTAATGAGCCCCACTATCGCAAGCACGGCCATCATTACATAACCGTGACTCCTTAGTAACGCGCCCCCACACGTTCTCAAGAATGAAGCGACAAATATGACACAGGGCACCTTGGCAGGCAGGCGTACGTGAAAGGTCACTGCTCCCTGACGAGCTCGGTCTCAAACTCCTCGACCCACGATCTTCGGAGCTCGGGGGGCTAGTGTACTATCCGTACCGCCATGCCGAGCTTGAGCTCGGCATCGCTGCGTGGAATGACCTCGGAACACGCATTTGGAGACCTCGGTCTAAACAAGATCCGCAATCCAACCAGATCATAACTGATCTCAGGAGATCTCGGTCCAAGCGAGATCCGCTATCTAATTAGATTATAACTGACCTCAGGCCCAAGGCCCAACGCAACCCTAATTCACACTAAGGTACGTGCATTATTTATACGAGACTCATACTCATACAAATCCTAACTTTAGCATCAGAGTCTCTTTTGCAGGTACCACCCCCATCTTGGAACACCAACGTACCCGCGAAAGAGGCTCACCAATCTTACTCGGCGGATCACCTCTACAGCAGATCTCCGGTAAGAACACTATTCATTAATTATTGATGAAATTATAAATGTTGAATTTTCTAGAGCTACCTAGTCATGAAATAATTATCATTTCGTGAACAGGAATCCAAATTACTTTTACTGGTAAGTTAGAATTTAAACTCAAATATAAGGTGTAATTTATTTTATATATATATATATATATATATATATATATTGTCTATATCACTATATATTATATAAATTTTAATTAAAGTACTATCAAACCTTCTTATATTGACTAGTGCTTTAGGATGACTGATTCTTGATGTGTGTTGGAGTCTTTTTTGTCTAAATTATTTTTTAATCTTTATCATCATTATTGTTTTAAAATAAATCTAAAGTTCAGGATATTCTATGTTTATGCTTTATTTTACACCTTAAGTCCAAAGTTTTTTTGTGTCAATTTGTCAGAGGTGTGTGAATAATGGTGATTTCTACTAAGTCTTAGATATAAAGTTGTTTTAAACTTCTAATTGTGCATTGTAAGGGCACCATATAATTTTTTGTTTTATTATACATCTTTAGACCAATTAATTATGTGTATCTTTGAGAATCTTTTTCCAAACCCCACATTTCAATGTTAATTCAATGATCGCAAACAGAGGTCAGCCAAGCATTGGTTTTAAAAGGTTGAATGCTCATGTTCACCAGTTGAAAGGCAGCAGCTCCAGGTAATTAATTTTTCAAAACTAGTTTCTACCTACCTTAATATACAATCCACCTCAAAACAATTTATGATGGGAATATTGGTCTTGTTTTTTTTACCTTGGTGATAGTTGCATCCACTTGGTGTCACTTGAAATACCAGTCTTAGTCACAGTTGCATTATTATTACCAAGAATATGTAGTATAGTGGCATGGAACCCTTGATAAAGCCTATTCTGGAGAATTAACTGCAATTTTTAATAATTTGTAATCATAAGTCACTTATTAATAAATGGAGAGTTAACCATAATTCACTTATTAATTTGTTAATATTGTAAGAGTTAACCAACCATCAACCCTTCACCTGCTTAGATTGTTCATTCTTATCTCAATTTATGACTATAAGAGGTCGCAAATAATGCATACAAAACCTTGATTTGTGTTTGATGGGCTGTTACTATAATACTGCCTATTTACTTGTGTATACTTTTGATTTATCTTTATTGGAGTGGTTCTATTGATAATTCTTTAGGAAGAAATTGAAGAGAATGATGAAGATTCCATTAAAAAGATGCAGAAGCTGGAGAAATAATATATCCATAAATCTTATTCTGATGTCACTTGTTTGATTATGGACCTAATTAGAATGATATGGAATTCTTGATAAAATATAAATTAAGGCCATTCACATTTAACTACAAGTGGAAGTCTATTGTTTAGTTGCAAAATGTATGCTTTTTATTTGTGTTGTTTATTATGCATTAATAAAAGTTATGATGTTGTATTGTCTCTTTTTAAACCATTAGTATATAATGCTTTTCAATATTTTATTTGATTAATCTATCATTAGTTGAGATTTTTCTTCTTTTCTTTTTCATAGAATTTTATTACATTATGTCTCTAGGATTGCAACTCAATGGTTTTAAGAAAGTTATCATACACAAAAAGTGACAGAAGACATCAAGTACAAGATTACAATTCTCACAGGAGGAGGTAAATGAATTCAGCTACTAGAAGACATTTTTTTAACATTCTTTGTTCATTTAATCTACTAAAGAACTACTACTTATATTTATTTTTAAGAAATTGTGTACCAATTTTTCTTGTCGACGTTTGATGCTAGTTTGAGGGAAGTTGCCTAATCTATAGCCTTTTTTCTTTGATATTAGTTTTAGTGTTCTATGCTTTCTACTTTGTGGTACTCAATAAAGGTCTAATTAAATATGTTTCTCCATCAAGAAAGAAAAAGTTGCTACCTGGATAAAGTTTGTAAATTGATGTCTCATTATTAATTGGCACATATACGTAATCTTATTTTTTCGAGGGTGGGGATGTTTATTGAATTTTTTTTCCTGTTAAGAGTTATGCATTACTCTTGCACTTTGAAAATTTACATTTTAAGTCAAACCGTCTCTCTATGACGTTCATAAAGACCAACATTTCTACTGGAATTCGGGGTTCTGTTGACCATCATGACAATGTCAAGGATTTACTAAAGGCTATTGATGAACAATTTACCACATCTGATAAATCTCTTGCCAGCACCCTTATAATGCAGTTTTCATCCTTAAAGCTCACTGGGATTAAACGAGTGCATGATCATATCATGCGCATAAGGGATATTGTGGCTCAACTGAAAGCTTTAGAGGTTACCATGTCTGATTCTTTCCTAGTGCACTATATTTTGTGCACCTTGCCTCACCATTATGCCCCCTTTAAAATCTCTTACAACACACATAAGGATAAGTGGTCTATTAATGAATTGTTGACCATGTGTGTTCAAGAAGAGGAAAGGTTAATGATGGAAGAAGGAGAGCAGGTGCTCTTAACTGGTTCTTTTAAGAAAAAGAAGAATCAAGATAATAAGAAGGGAAAGATTCCAGCTCAACCAATTATTAAGAAAGAATCCAAGTGCTTCTTTTGTAAAAAGAAAGGACACATGAAGAAGGATTGTTTGAAGTTTAAGAATTGGCTGGAAAAGAAAGGTAATTTATTTGCTTTTGTTTGTTATGAATCTAATATGACTAGTACTAATCATAACACATGGTGGATTGATTCTGGATCTACAATCCATGTTTCTAATACCTTACAGGGTATGCAAAACCTAAGGAAACCGATGGGAAGTGAGCAATGCATCTATTCAGGAAGCAAGATGAGTTCACATGTGGAGGCCGTTGGGACATGCAATTTAGTTTTGAGCAGTGGTTTTATTTTAAATTTAGAAAAGACTTTTTATGTTCCTAGTTTTAGTAAAAACTTGATTTCTATTTCGCAACTTCCGTGTCTAACTCTAACAAGTTCGTTCCTTTCATGCGACCCAGTTACCATTCCACCACTCTGTTTCATCTTCTTCTCCGAAACCTTCCCCCACTTCACTCTCTCTCTCTCTCTCTTACTTCAGTTGTTGTTCCCGCTGCCATGTTCTGTGGTTCTAAGCGTATCTGTGGCCGTTGGATCTTTCATGATCTAACGGTGACGAAGGGGTGATCGTGGAGCAACGTGAACCATGTCTAATTCGCTTAATCAAAGGCTAGTTGGGAGAGATCGTGGACGATTTGGGAGCGTTGTATTGTGTTTCATCGGACGGATGAGAGTTGGGATGAGGGGGACCACGTGGCATGTGTTGTGCTACTTTTCCCTTTTCTGGAAGAAAACCCAATTAATAAGTACTCGTTATTGTCATTTTTTTTATTATATTAAATGGGTTCAAGAGTTGGAGAGCTTTGATTTCTTTGGACACGAGTTTGGGAGGCATGGAATAAGGGACTGAAAGCACCAAATAGTTAAGGTTTATGTATAATAAAGAAACTAAAAATAACAATTCATTTCAGACCAAAACAATATGTAAAACCACCAATATAACAACCTTAAGGTATCATTATCCTACACATGGACCATTATGATACATTTTAGAGAATTTAAAAGCATAATTGATAAACAACTCAAACAAATTTAACGGGCCTAACGGACCTGTTGCTGTATTGGGCTTGGGGTCCAACAAGTTCCCCATTCCTATTGGTTGTGGGGGCCCAACTCTGTGACTCATTGCTAGAGATTTGAGTAATGGATTCTCATTCAAAAGCTTCCTTGGTACTGCTACTAATTAGCTTAAACCCCGATGATGTAGCATATATTGGGAAGACCCCGCACTCTTTAATCTTGTCTTTGTCTTGGTGTGAAATAAGTATGCATATTCAGATGTAAATGTTAAGTTGCTGAAATGATCACACTCTTCACTTATTCCATCAAATTTTATGATGCCATGATACCAAAGTGTACTATTCGTACCGCTATGCCAAGCTCGAGCTCGGTATCACAGCGTAGGACGACCTCTGACACGCGCTGGGAGACCTCGGCCAAAACGAGGTCTACTATCTAATCAAATCATAACCGATCTTGGAGATCTCACTCTAGACGAGATCCGCAATCTAATCAGATCATAACTGATCTCAGAGATCTCGCTCCAGACGAGATCCTCTATCCAATCATATCATAATTGATCTCAGGCCCAAAAGCCCAAAGCAACCCTAATTTACACTAAGGTACGTTATATATATATATATATATATATATATATATATATCTTTTTGGATATATCAATAGTATTATTTTGTATGTAATTTTAAATAATTTTTTGGTGTTGTATATGTAGATTGAGGTAAATGATATATATGAGTAAAGAGATGGATTTAAATATTATCAAGCATAACAATCAGGGTTTTTTCCTGTATTTCATTGCTTTGGTGTTTCCTTTTTCTTGTTACCTTGAACATATTTTCAGTTGGGTCATGACTTGCATTTTATTACCTAGGTCATGAATTAATGCATTTCATTTTGCAGCTTTATTCAAAGTGAAGTTAGAGGCTGACAAGCCTTTGAGAGTTTCACGGATGGAAAGATCAGCTATGAGAGATTCACATAGGGTATTTTAACCCCCACAAATAACAAAAAATAAAATAAATTATTGTAGTGATGTTTCCTTTTCTCTTTTTATCCTTTGGTGGACCTTCTTACTTAATTTCATTTTTTTATTGCGTTTAAGATCAGTGATGAGGAAGTTGACTTCTGTAATCAAACTTCTGCAGGAATTGCTTTCACACTTAGGGCAACACTTACCTGACAAGTTGATTTGTATGGTTGAGTGTTAGGCTTATAATCTACAATCTTAGAATTTAAAAGATTATGTATCACATGTTGGAGGCGTGGAAACAAATGTTTCGGATAAATTCATTGTGAGCATTTAAAAGTTGAAAAATTATTTATAAATTATGTAATAATTTCTTCGATTTTTTTTGTAAAAAAATTTCTGCAGAATTTCTTGCGAAAAAATTTGCAGGAAACTTTCCTGCAAATTTTTTTTGCAGGAAAATTTCTTGCGAATTTTATAATTCATAAAAGCATATTATCCACGAAGGTATTATCTGCAGATAAAATTTTGCAAAAAAATTTGTAGGAATAATGTTTGTTGCAGATTTTAATACAAAATTCACAGGAAAAGTCGTATGTAATAAGAGAAATTTTAATAGTATATCTTAAATCATTTCACATAATTAACCAAATACTAATTAATAGTACTGTTTCAAAGTATCTAAATGACCTACTTTAGTGTTCCTTTTTTTCAAAATATGTTAGATATATATTATAACTGATGTAAAGGTGTATGATTAAATCTTATTTAGAAAGGTTAGTATAAATAAATAAAAACAAAATAAGGAGAATCTCATGGGTTAAGTAGGAGAATATAATAGAAAATATTAGTTCATTAAGTGGGAGAATCTCAAGGGTTAAGTATCATATACTTCGCTCAATATAACATTCCTAACATTATTCATCTCATTAAAGGTCAACGTGTACAATGACTTTCACTATATTTACACTAACTTGAAGATAACCTTTTTTCTCTCTAAGGGCTTCACACTTGCTAGTATGCAATTTGCACCATAATCCAACCTATATAAGTAGTCTCTATTGTACGTAACTCTACTCTCTGATTTAACGTGATCCTATCCATGCTCTATCTACCAAATTTAATACCATCTAAACACAACTAGACACTCAATGATCCATTCAAGATCCTCACTATGAATCATTGACTACGTTCAATAACGGGTAGCATGCTAGAACAATTAGTTGTCTTGGTCGCCTAAACCATTCACCACTACATCTTCTAGTACTACAACTACTAATTTCTTAGCATCTCAAGGATCACAACTCACCATGCCCTTTTCCACTTCCATATCAATTCCCCATTTTATAAAGACATTGTTTTCCTAAGGTGGATGACCACCTCTGATAGAATTGAATGAAAGAACGAACTAGTCATGAACGACTACATCCTACTTCAACGGAAACTTGCAACGGGCAAATTTTACAAAGACTATATATATGTCATGACTTCAAACCTGGAAAGGTTGGCAAAAAGTGATATCAAGCCCAAGAAGCAACGAAACCAGAGACAGAGCATACATAGTAAAATGTACAATATTGTGTTGTATTTATCTTTGTAGACTAAGGAGTTCTAAGTGTAACTTAGGAACATGCACCTTAGTGAGTGTAGAAAATCTTTGTATCCTCTTTGTGAGAGTAAACCACACACTCAAAAACAAACTATCTATCATTTGTAAAGCCTAAAAAGGCTAGCGTACTGAAGTTCAAAAACTTCAGTACGGCCGTATTGATTTCAGTACGGCCGTATTGTAGTTCAAATGGCTCAGTACGGCCGTACTGAACCTCTAGGAGGGTGTATTGAGCTCCAATCCTCGCACACCCTTATTCTAAGCTACTCTAAGACTTCTAGACCTACAAAGAATCATCCTAGGGTCTTCCAGGAGTCCTTCCGGCTGACTTTCCTTCGGTCTTCGAGAGTCTTTGAGTCTTATTTCCGACCCGGACAATTTTAGGGGTCTACATCTCCTAGTACTCAATTATGAACTCCTAAATTACAACTTAACCCCTTTGATGGAACTGATTAACTAGATTGGCTTTTTCATGTTGACCAATATTTTACCTATTATAAAGTTTCATGGGAACACAAGCTAACCATATGTTTATTTTTTTTATATGAAATGAGAGGTGATGTTACTTGAATTTGTAGATGTTCTAGCAAGCTGGATGATGGCCTTCACTCTCCAACATCGATGGTGGGGAGCACTTACAAGGATATTTTGACACTCAAGTTAACGGAGATCTAGGTTATAAAGTATGAAATATGGATGAGAATGATACTTGATACCCCTTATAAAAGTACTGAGTCTTATCATTAAGTAGAGTATATTCTGCAATAGATAGTTGGTTACTGATAGTGATAAAGTGGTTGTTTTGTTGATTACGTGAGGATAAGGATTTTTCTCTATTATGAGCCTAATATCTTGGAGATAATTCATAAGAGATAACCACTCAGGAGATAGTCACTTAGGAGATAACAGGTATGAGATAACCTTTTGGGATTTACTTGGTGATTGCTCCATGGGCTTGGTTAGTTGGCTTGTCATAAGCATTGAGCTTATGAGGACAGCTTGGTTGGCCAAGTTGGGTCCGAGTTAGGCAATACATAAGCCTCTGATGCTCCAAGCTCTTTTGTTGGGAAAGAGTTAAGAGGTTTTATATGTCGCCCAATAGCCATGTTGTGTTGAGGTCGATCATGTGGGTTGAAGTTGAAAAGTTTTGTAGTGTGGATTGGATCATTTTAGCACACATTATGGTTCACGTTGTTTCATGGGTAATCATTTGATTTTAAAATGAGGTTGCAGGTAGGAAATTGTGAGAATTGGGTTGTTCACAATATAATTTCCTTTTAAGTTAGATCAACAATGGTGGAGAAAAGGTTGACATGGTAGTTACCTTTTCTCATCCCGTAAAAATTCATTTGGGTTTTTCGCCTTCCTTCCCTAAGTCATTCATGCACACAACAAAATTGAAAAAAAAAATCTAAAAAGAAGCTTAATCGAAAAAAAGAAGTACTTAGATTTGTGATACTTGAAGCAAAAATTCCCAATGCAACCCCATGAACACGCTGTTTGCCAATGTCGTTACCTAAATTTGCAAGTACTCAAACGAGCTGGACAATGTGATGGAATCATGTGATGGCATCCTTGCTAGCATTGATGGAGAAATGAAGATCAATGGTAAGGACACTTTGACTCCTTGGATCAAAGCTCTTCAAGGGATGTCTTTAATGGAGGAAATGGACAATAATGGAGGTTAGAGGTTAAGTGTTTGATGAAAGGTTTGAGAGGGTACTCT